GGGGGGTCTTTAAAAAAAATTATTTACGTGTTTTTACACCCTCCATCAACACAATTTAGATCTTTCAGAAGACGCACTTCGACCCCTCCCGCACCATCCAACACGGGCTGGAAAGTATTCACCGTCCTTGCAGAAAGACCAAGATACTGGATGAAACTTTTAGCCATCCAGGAATCGACTTCAGGTCTTTTATATGCGATGGAGACAGTTATTTTGCTTTTATGTCACCACCAGCAAGCATGGGAGTGGGGGAAGCTGCCCCACGTTTGTAAGACAGTTTACTGGTTATATACCGTGCATGACTTAAATTACAATTGGATCCTAAAATCGACAAGTTTAATTTCTCTCTCTCTCTCTCTCTCTCTCTCTCTCTCTCTCTCTCTCTCTCTCTCTCTCTCTCTCTCTCTCTCTCTCTCTCTCTCTTTTCTTGGCGTCCACAAAGTATGGAGAAATACGTAGGGCAGCTCCTACTGATTACCATTATTATCAAAACACACAGTCTTGATGTTAAAGTGAAACGTCAATTTACATAAACAATATTTCTCGTCCAATTTCAGATTCACTCTCGCAGAAAGGATATTTGAGAAACAGGCCACTCGAAATGTCTGGAAAGAACAAATATCGCTTTTTATAAATGTAAATTAAACTTTTAAATAGCGATTGAAGGGGGCCAGATCGCTAAAGAGAACTACTTTTACTGAATACTGGGATTTTTCCCCTGCTAGCTCTTTTTCAAGTTTTGCCCATTTCCTTTTTCGTGAACGTTTTTTGAACTCGTGATTTGAGTCACCCAGTGTCACGTGCTCCAATGCAAATTTTACCTTTTTTGTGAACCACATGAATTCTCGAATTGCATTAAAAATTGCGAATATCGCGATTTCAAGTTCCGCTCGGGAAACGGGAAAAAAATCACCCGGGAGTACGATTATTAGTTTCTAGCTTGACGAGACTCAGAAATTCCTGTGCTCAAATACCAGTGCCTATGGTGCAATGGTTTGACATGCAAAAGATAAAAGTTCTAATCCCATGTGGACAAGCTATTTCATCTATTTTACCGAGTATCTACCTCCTTCTGTCAGAGTATTGTAACCACATATGACAGGTTTGGTCCTGATAAAATGAACTAATCTTTATCGATGCGAGAATAATAAACAACTTCTCATATATATATATGATTCCCAACATTAAATTATGTTTTTTAATGCTAAATTCTGCAGCAGGATGAGCAGGGTCATCAACTCGCAAACATATAGAGAGATAGACAGAACCAACGGTACACAAAACCTTCCACTACTGGATTTCGAAACAATTGGCGTCTTCCTGTCACGCGACTTGAGTTGAGCCTTTCTACTGGCAGCTATGGCGGCCTGAAGATTGGAAGAGCTGGACAGTTGATGGTGGCTCGGGAATCTGGTAAAGAATTCCTCACTGGGGATGAGAGAATAAGTAAAACAAAGTACTGTTCTAAGTCTCAGTACACCTAGGAGTTTTACGGCATTTCCAACAACAATAGGTTATATAACGTCGGCCGCATGATACAATTTCACAATCCAAAAATTTTGAAATTTTTAGAATTGCTGTTTCTTAATTTGTGGTATCGGGTGCACGTGCTCAAGAAATATTTGGTCGAAATTCAAATTCTAAATGTTGAAAAAGGTAAGAAAATATAATATGCCATGCCCGAAGGCCGTCAAATTACCTGAGCCGCAAGACCACAAGCTACGCTCTGCTGGGCAGCATAGATGAGCGCTTTATGACCACTCACAAGTCCACGCAGTCTAGTTGTGGGTCCACCTAAAGGCGCTTTCCCATTCAAAAGTCAGCTTCTTGGAGACATTTATGTTGCTGTCTCTTACATGGGCCGAAAATAGGTACACATATAATTATAAAGGCAAAATTAAAAAACCCAAGGCTAGGAAGAAATTTAGGTAGATGAGAATGAACCGTGTGATAATCTAACAATGAGACGGTATCTTGCCTTTTAAATGAGTCATGTAAAAGCCCATCAAAATAAATTCACCTTCTCCCCCTCAGCACCGGGATCCCCTTTAGGAGTCTTAACAGTGCAACAATATATTATTACCTCTTTGTCCGTAATAAACTGGTAAAACCGTTTCTACTAGAACCTTTTCTGTTTCTTGTGTGGCGTTTCATGTTTTATCCTTTACACGTCTAAAAACTATCAATAATACCTAAGAAAGCTGTGATAAGCTGTATGATTATTGTCCTGTAGCAAACCACGCTTTTGACGCAATAAACTGTAGTGCGCGAGAGCTTAGTACCATGTATCAGAGTAAAAAAAAAGGATAGAAAAATAAGCCTAGCCAATTATCTCGTTACAAAAACGCTTTTACACAAAATGAGTCATCTCAACAAATCAATAATGCCTTTACCTTCTTTCATTTTCAATTTCGAAGTGTACGTGTAATTTTTTAAAGAATGAAACAGTTTTTTTCTCTTTCCTGAAACATTTTGGTTAAGGGCTTGTGACATTGTTTCATGTGGCCGAAGGATAAGTGTTCAAAGATAAGACATTTTACTACTAGAGAGTAACATTGTACCAACAAATTAAGGAGGAGAGACACGGACGATAGATGTTGGATAGGTTAGAAGGAGCAAACCACATCACATCACCTGCCAAACCAATCACATTCTGGGACAAAAGCCGCACCCCCCCCCCCACTCTCTCTCTCTTTCTCTCTCTCTCTCTCTCTCTCTCTCTCTCTCTCTCTCTCTCTCTCTCTCTCTCTCTCTCGCTCTCTCTCTCTCTCTCACACACACACACACAAACAGCAAGCTCACCTCCCTCCCTCTCTCACTCTCTGTGTCCTTCTGTCTTTTCTATCTCGTCTGCCGCGTGGCTTTTTCTACCCTCCCCCCATCGTCTTGCGATATCTCTCCCTCTCTTTCTCTCTCTTCGTCTTCTCCCCTCCCCCTCTCTTTCTGGCGCTGATCGGTGCAAAAAACAACAAAAAACAAAACAAAACTAAACAAATAAAAAAAACAACCCCCAAAAAAACAAAACAAAACAAAACAACCTTACCTCGTCCTTCCAACGTTGACATTCGTCTCTGTCTGAGACACGCCCACATCTCTGCCAGTCTCCTCACACTTGGCCTGCTCACGAGTGTGGTGGATAGCTCTACTGCCGCGGCCTTGAAATCTGCGGGAACGTGGCATTGTGTTGACCTTTGACCTTGGCATTTGATGAACTGCCACAGACCTCTGAGCCGCCTTATCGTCACAGCTGAAGTACATAACGGCTTGACCCAGTGGCTTGCTCCCGAGACGTTTCCCTGGGGCTCTGTTTGGGAGCAGCTGTAAAGGATTGAGATGGTAATTCATTTCGTGGGGTTCCTGACCTCCTGTCTTGACCTCTTCACCATTGCACTGTGAAGATCTCGACTTCTCGTGTGCCGCATGGCTTTTCTTACCCCCCATCGTCTTCGGAACGTGTATATGGGAATAAGCTGACATTTCAGTGTTGTTCCAGTCTTTCTTTTTGACTGGAGTTCCCAGAGAAATCCATCTTTTCCCACAAGGTTTTCTAGAACAGCTTTCTTCTTCTGTACAGCTTTGAGGATCCGTACCTTCCCTGTCTTTGGTATCGGCATTTCCCCCTGAAACCCTAGGGGCGGAAGAATCTCTGTGGCAAACTCCCAAAGCGACAGGGGCGGGTGTGTAAGGGGAAGGAGGACTGCTATCTTGCGGAGCACGAATAACATCAGCAGGTGCTTCTCCTAAAACGTAGTTTTCCCCTGTCAGCTCTCGACTGCCTCTCTTTTTGATTCCAGCGTCCGAAAAATTCACATTTTCAGCAGGAGTCTTGGAAACATCTGCTGTCACACGATGACCTTCCTGGGATTCTGTACGTTCCCCGTGGGTGACACAGAACGAAACGTTTTTCTGATCCAGCGTATTATCTACGGCTACGTGGTTTGCTTTGATTGTTTGCTCAACAGAATCAGCAACGACATTTCCTCCTCTCAAAGCCCTTGTACAGTTCCCATCATTACGTTGTGCAGTCTTCTCGTGCTCAGACTGTTTGCCCGCCAATTCCGAAACTACTTCCTCGCTCACAGGCGTGAACTGATTGCAATCGGAGCACATCCTCACCACAGAGTATTTGGGCTTCTCCACTCCTTTTTTCGGAGCTCGCAACCTCCTCTCTAGACTTTGGAAACAAAGACGTTCATCATAACCAGCACCGGCACACGGTGCCTTTCGTGTGGCCCCTCTAACAAAACGCCCTGCCGCGCGGTCTTTGACGTGAGACGGGTACCCGTTTGTTGTTCCTAAACGTCCAGTATACGCGGTACCACCTTTGACATCCGCTTGATTGTCCACCGAAAGTCCTTTCTCATAACCCATGTCCTTGTCCATTTTGATAGAAACCTCTTGACTTGTACCCAGCGCTACAACTTCCCAAAACCAGCCTGGAGCGGGGGATCTGTTGAAACGTTGTTCCGAGGAACTTCCAGTTACAAAGTTTCTCTTAAAGAATCTGTCACCCACAGCAATTTGTTCCCTGGCTCCTATCCTCTGTTTACTCTCTTGACCTGTCATCCTGTCATAGACTCTGGGAAATGCCCTTTTTACATCGTTTTCGGCCATATGACAACCACGTCCTGCCCCCGAAGGTTGCAAAGTCTGAGAATCATTTAAAGTGTCCGTCCCTGAGCACAACAATTTAAAAGCCTTGCTGGTGTAGCCTTTGTGGCCGTCGTAACAGACTTCGTACAAGTTCACGTCGGATCGTGCAATGTTTAGTTTGCTTCGTTGTCGTCTTCGTTGGTCTGCGCCGAAAGATTTTGGCCAAGTCTCTGAATCACAACCCTGTCCTTTCTCATCGACGTCAAGGGTTTTGTGCGATTTGAGAATCGCACGAACATTTTGGACGGCACGCAACACAGGATTCACAAGCTCCATCTCGTGGTTCTTGACACCAGTCAGCTCTATGTCATTAATCGGGCTGCCCTTCACAGCTGACATAAATTGACCTGCCGTGCACCATGGATTTCCACCGCCATCATCCACGACCGTACCGAGGCTGCTCAACGAGGCACACATTATGACATCATTGGTTTCCGATTTGAAATGAGCATCCGTTGTGTAGTGCAAGTACAAGTAGCCATGTCAATTCGAACGGTTTTTAAGACTGGAAGAGAAATGCATGAATATGAATATTTCTGTTGATGTTTTTTTCTTGGAAAAGGAAACGAACATAACCTAATCTCTAAAACGGCCTTTCGTCATTTTTGTAAATCAAAAGCTTACATGATTATCTACAGTGAGGATCATTTTTTATATAGCACGTAATTATAGCATTATATTTTCGGTTTCTTGGGATACTAAGCTTTCTGCCTGACTGTCTGTCGGTTTCTGTTCTTTTCTAACCCCCCCCTATCTCTCTCTCTCTCTCTTTCTCTCTCTCATTCTCTCCCTCTTTTTGGTCTGTATGTCTAACCGTCTTTCTCTATCATTGCCCCCCTCTCCCCCACACACGAACACACACACAAACACACACATGCTCATGCACACACACAAACATCGGTGTTTACAAACATACTGACAGCCGAGACTAAAATCACCCTCGTCCAGCAACGAAGTCCCGTCTGTGTCCAGTCTCCCAGGAGTAGCAGGCCTAGGCTACCGCGTCCTCTCACAGGCTTCACTTCCGGCACCACTACCTCTAGCTTTCAGATCCAGATCTACACTGGTGTGCACGGGAGCGCACCAAACCTTTGAAATATTCTGCGTCAAAGGAATCTATGTGTGTGCGCATGTTTTAGCAAAGATCGTACATGACAAGATGGTTCACTCCTCTCTTTGCTGAGCGAATTTAAAAAAATGTCCTCAAAATTTGGTGGCGCCCTCTTTGAAAAAGAGCGGACTTTGCGACCAGAGTTACCCTACTTGTGTTAAAAACAATAAAAGTGAAACTAACAAACAGTGCTTTTCCTATTCTTCTTCTGGAGAAACCAAAGAGAGCTTCAAAACAAAGACTGCAGCGCCATCTGAACCAATGCGCGGACTTCCGCAGACACTTTTTGGGCCGAGTGAACTCTCTTGTTATGTACAATCTTTGGTTTTAGCACACAGTGTTCGATAGTTTGTTTTCTCCCCATTCACCAGTAATATAATTATTTTACGTGTTTATTTCTTAATTATATTATTAAAAATATTTTAAATACTTTCAATTTCAGGCCTGTGTTTGTTGGGGTGGGATTGGAGGTGTGTCGAAAGTTCAATTATCAGGATTTCATTTTCATAAACAAGGGTCAAGGGACCTAATCGTACGTTTAAAACCGCGCGTCTAGTACCATTGTTACCTCCTATGACACAGCTCCGCCTTTGGACTTTCAAAGCGCTGTCGTTGTTATTCATTGTTTTCACTGCCGTTCTCATTTGGTCAAATGCATTTTAATTTTTTT